ATATGAGTTGCAAACATTTTTTTCTGTTTTGGGTTTCTGATTTTTCATTAAGGTGTTTTTCGTAATACAGAATTTAAGTTTTTTATAATGAAATAGCTGTCTTTTCTTTTACAGCTTCTCTGTTTCTTGGCAAAAAGATCTTTCCAACACTTTTGGTTGTTTATATTGGCCCCTAAATACTTTTTCTAAGATTTTTGTGTATGTATGTATGTTTAAATTGTTAATTGGGATTAATTTTGTGTTAGACAAATGTTAGCTTATTTTCTCCCAACAGATAATTCAGTTGTATAAGCATCATTTAACTAATAACTATATTTCCCACTGAAATAAAATATCCCCTTAATCAAATATTAAATTCTGGTCTACACTGGGCTCAATTTCTGGGTTTTTGTTTCTCTGAGCTAGGTCTATACCTATACCATTCCCTACTGTTTTTAATAATAGGGACTTGAAATGTTTATAAAAGCTAATAACATGACCTTCTCTCACTATTCTTTTTTATAAGTTTTCTTAGGTCTTTTTGTACATTTATTCTTCTATACAAACTATTGTGTATTGTGTACTCTTTGGGTAAAGCTTTCCGTAACTCAGATAGTGGGTAGATCCGCAGTCTTCTTTCTATGTTGTTAGTTCTCTGTGAGTTACCAGGAGACACCTCTCAGTATCTGGATATCTTCAGCTAAGAGGGTAAGTACAATCTCAGCTTCAGTGGTAAAGGGAACCCAGTCTACCAGGTTAGCTCTTTCTAAAGCTCTTTGTGGGCCAGGGAGACTAGCAGATTGTTCCAGAAATGCTCATGCAGTTGATGCCATTTTTGGGGGAGAGAACTGCCCATGGATCTCTTGGTTTTCAACTATGGCCAAGCTTTTGTCGTGGTTTTAAGAGTTCTGATTCTGGTGTCTGTCAGCTGCTGAGCTCAGGAGAGGTATCTAGTAGTTGACCTAGTGTTGGGACTGGAGATTATTAGGATTATCTTCGAGCATCCATCTATCCAAATCCCCTCAGGCTAACCTCACTTTATTTCTGGTTTGTACTTTAGTTCTCCTTTGTTTATTTAAAAAAGATTTTTTTAAGTAATCTCTACACCCATCGTGGGGCTCAAACTGACAACCCCAAGATCAAGTTGCATGCTCCACCGAATGAGCCAGCCAGGGGCCCCATTTCTCATTTATTTTTATTTTAACTTAGTATAAGCTTTAAGTTATAGGTAATAAGTATGAGTAATATATCTTATGCTTTGATGGATCTACTTTATTTTTTTTTTAAGATTTTATTTATTTATTTGACAGAGATACAGCGAGAAAGGGAACATAAGCAGGGGGAGTGGGAGAGGGAGAAGCAGGCTTCCCACAGAGCAGGGAGCCTGATGCGGGGCTTGATCCCAGGACCCTAGGATCATGACCTGAGTTGAAGGCAGACGCTTAACGACTGAGCCACCCAGTCGTCCCTGATGGATCTACTTTAATTTTTTCTTTGTAGTGCTGCCTATTTATTTGTTCATACCATTATCAAATATTTATTAAGCATTTTGTGTGTAGCATCATTTAGCCTTGGAGTTAGGCATATGAGGATGAATACCACCCAACCCCTATTTTCTCAGAAACATTTTACATAGTCTTTCACTTCTTTTCTTAAAATATTTTCACTTGGCATACACACTTCTGGGTTTCTCTTTTCTTCATGTTTGTCCATTTTTAGTCTCCTTTGCTCAACCTTTCTCGTCTAGACCCCCAAAATGATGGACCCCCAGAGTTTAATGAGACCTTTGCCTTCTCTAGCTCCATTTCATTCCTTATGTCATCCCATTCAGTGTCAGGCTTTAAATATTTTAGCTATGATGTACTGATGTCCCTAAAGACACATGTATGTATGTATGTATGTATGTATGTATGTATTTATTTTTTAAGATTTTATTTATTTGACAGAGAGAGACACACACACACAGTGAGAGAGGGAACACAAGCAGGGGGAGTGGGAGAGGGAGAAGCAGGCTCCCCACTGAGCAGGGAGCCCGATGTGGGGCTCGATCCCAGGACCCTGGGATTATGACCTGAGCTGAAGGCAGACACTTAACGACTGAGCCACCCAGGCACCCCAAGACACATGTATTTTTCAGTCCTGGCATTTCCCCTGAATTTTAGCTTCAGATATCCAAACTGCTGAATCTCCAAAAGACTGTTTTAATAGGCATTGCAGAATTCACAAGACCACAACATATTGCAACTGTTTGCTCCCTTGACTTTGCATTTAGTGGTCCGTGTGCTCACTTTTCACATTATGACTGGTTAGCTCCTTCATGTCATTCATTAACATGAATGATTTTTGTGGTCCCACTTTATCAGATTTTCTTTCATGCTTTATAATATTCATGTCAAAGTGATTTTTAAAAAATCCTAGTTTTTTAGCTTTAGCTTTGATCTATAGTATTTTTTCATGTAGGGTTGTCTTCATTTTTTTTTTTTTTTTTTTTTTTTTTAAATTTCAGAGGGAGAGACAGCGAGAGAGGGAACACAAGCAAGGGGAGTGGGAGAGGGAGAAGCAGGCTTCCCGCCGAGCAGGGAGCCCGATGCGGGGCTCGATCCCAGGATCCTGGGATCACGACCCGAGCCGAAGGCAGACGTTTAACGACTGAGCCACCCAGGTGCCTCCAATTTTGTGTTTTGTAATTCATTCTTAAAACACTGTTTTGGGGCACCTGGGTGGCTCCGTTGGTTGAGCGTCCAACTCTTTGGCTTACATCATGATCTCAGGGTTGTGAGATTGAGCCCTGTGTCGGGTTCTGTTGCTCAGCACAGAGTCTGCTTGAGATTTTCTCTCCTTCTCCCTTTACCCCTTCCCCTGGTTATGCTCAATCAATCAGTCAATCAATAAAATCTTTAAGAAAGAAATCCACCTTTTTTACTAATTATGAAAGTAATATGTGTTAATTTTAGAAAGCTAGAAAAGTACAAAAAAGGAAAAAAGTCCATGTAATCTCATCATTGAAAGTGGCATTGACAATTTGGTATATGCTTTGTCTTTCTCTCCGTGCATGAATATTATTACTTACAACACTTGATTCATCACGTATCTACTATAAACTACTTTTTCTCTTCAGTTACTTTGTAGTGAACATTTTCCAATGACATTAAAGTTAACTTGTAGAACATGAGTACATGGTATTCTGTAACACAAGTATGTAATAATTTGTCTAATTCCTGATTGTAATACAATTAGGTTGTTTACAGTTTGCTATTATAAACTGTGTTGTGATGAATGTGGATTATTTACATCCCCTGGATTATTTTTTAGGTAAGTTCCAAGAAGTGGAAATAATTCTTAGGCTGTATAGTGTAGTAATTAAGAACATTGGCTTTGGAGTCAGACTGCCTCAGGTTAAAATCCTGACTTCTTAGATGTATGTATATTTAGGCAAATTAATGTATCTCTCTCATTTCTTTATCTGTACATTGAAGAAAATAATAGTTTGGCACTTCTTAGGTGTATGTATATTTAGGCAAACTAATTTATCTCATTTCTTTTTTTTTTTTTTTTTAAGATTTTATTTATTTATTTGAGAGAGAGAGAACACATGAGAGGGGATAGGGTCAGAGGACAAAGCAGACTCCCTGCCGAGCAGGGAGCCCGATGCGGGACTCGATCCAGGGACTCCAGGATCATGACCTGAGCCGAAGGCAGTCGCTTAACCAACTGAGCCACCCAGGCGCCCTATCTCTCTCATTTCTTAATCTGTGCTCCAGGCTTATCTTCTGAATTACCTGTTCCAATTCTAGAACCAGCCTGAGAATCCCTGTTTTCTTTTATTGGGGAATGCTAGGTAGAAACCAAGACCTGGGTGCTGAGTGTACTCACTGCTACTGGGGTGTCACTACTTCTAGTCCCTCTTGGTGAACAGAGCTAGCAAATAATATTTGTGTGTTGTTTGTGCATGCATGCACATATATATCTATAATTATTTTCATATCTATTTATGTGTGTCCATATTAAACTAAACATGAGTTCAAGTGATGTCCAGTACCACAGGGTTCATTCTAACCTTCCTCCCTTTGCTTTTCTATAACTTTCCACTCCAAAGTGAGAAGCTTGATTCCACCATCTACCATCTATTTACTTAATTGCTCAACCCCAGTATTCATGTAAACTGATTCAGAATTAACCCATATCTCTGTGAAAAACAACTTTATCAAATACAGTACAGTTTTTATGCATAGGTCCATTTTTCTCTAGCCTTATGGTTTCCAGCAAAAGCACCATCTTCCAAAGTTACTTATATCACTTCCTTTTTTTACCCACGGTTCTGTTTTTGACCTTGTGCTTTAAAGACTTCTTAATTTAGGGGTCCCTGGGTGGCACAATCTATTAAGCATCTGACTCTTGGTTTAGGCTTAGGTCACGATCTCTCAGTGTCATGAGATTGAGCCCTGTGTCAGGCTCCATGCTCAGTGTGGAGTTTGCTAAAGTTTCTCTCTCCTTCTCCCTCTGTCCCTCCTCTCACTCATACGCTTTCTTTCTCTCAAATAAATAATCTTAAAAAAAAATTTCTTAATCTAAAAGATTGGTTATATGCATATACATATATGTACATGATATTGCATATAATATATATAACACACATATATGTAATATATAACAATATAATTGTATGCAATATAATAACATACCCAATATGTGTAAATAGTATTTTATTTATTCTTAGGTATTTTATTTTCTTTTTTTATCTTAAATTTCTAAACATATCTGTTCACTTTGTCACTCGGGTATGAAGTAGAAGTATTTTTCTTGCTTTTCTCCATTGTTTGAAATGCTACCTTTATCGTATTTTTTTAAATCTTATATATACTAGAACTTTTCTGTTTCTTACTCTGTTTTATTGTTTCTTTTTGCTCAAGTTACAGACATTATATAACTTTATGATAATTTCAGCATCTGATAGATTATTCCTCTTTTTGCATATTCATATTCACTTATTTTAATTATTTGTATAATTTTCTTTATTTCAGGAACATTTTAGTGGATAAACCAAATGACCAATCTTCAAGGTGGTCTTCAGAGAGCAACTATCCTCCCCAGGTAAGATTGTAGGTCCTGATACCATTTAGAAGTCAAAATTTTAATAGGCATTTAATTGACATGAGTTATCTGGACTCCATTAATAACTTACTCAGTCTTTGAAATTGTGAGATAGACTTTTATTTCCTTTTTTTTGTTTGTTTAAATGTTGGAAGAATTTTTATTTCATAGGCAAATGCAGTGTGGAGTTTGATGAAGCATAGACTTTTTTACTTCTGTCTACTGGAGTATTTATTTATTTACTTTTAAAGATTTTATTTATTTTGAGGGGGGCACATGAGCAGAGGGAGAGGGAGAAAGAGAATCTAAAGCAGATTCCGTGCTGAGCATGGGAGCCCGACACAGGGCTCAATCTCACAACCCTGAGATCATGACCTGAGATGATTCAAGAATCGGGTGCTTAATCGACTGAACCACCCAGGTGCCCCTGTCTACTGGAGCATTTAAAATCTAATATGTATTTTTTCTACATTACTAATGATGCAAGATTAAGTTTCTTGATACCTTTTGAGGAAAATATTAATGAAAAGAACCGGTTATGGTGCCATTACTGTTTTGAGCAGTAACTGATCTGAGGGCTGATCTAAGCAGAGGTTGTGACTTCTATTGTACTTAAACTCCAGTCATTCGGTAAATGTTTAAGGAAATGTTAGTAAGTTGAACTTTGACTCAGTGACTCAGTGACTGCCTTTTAGGGAAAATAAACTTAATATAGTTTGTTATACTAAAGTGGTATATTTAGATGATGTCAAGACCATGAACTAAATTCTTTCCTTGACAAGTGGTGTCTGAGGTCATTTGAATTTAAAAATAGTCATTCTTTCGGGCGCCTGGGTGGCTCAGTCGTTAAGCATCTGCCTTCGGCTCAGGTCATGATCCCAGGGTCCTGGGATCGAGTCCCACATCGGGCTCCCTGCTCAGCGGGAAGCCTGCTTCTCCCTCTCCCACTCCCCCTGCTTGTGTTCCTGCTCTCGCTGTCTCTCTCTCTGTCAAATAAATAAGTAAAATCTTTAAAAAAATAAAAAAATAATAAAATAAAAATAAAAATAGTCATTCTTTCAGTTATATACTTTAAGCATTAAAACTTACTATGTCCATATCCTTGAGGGAATACATGCTCTGATAGGTAAAGTAGATGGGTAAGTAAAACTTATTTTTTTTTTAAAGATTATTTATTTATTTATTTATTGAGAGAGAGAGAGAGAATGATAGAGAGAGAGCATGAGTAGGGAGGAGGGTCAGAGGGAGAAGCAGACTCCCTGCTGAGCAGGGAGCCCGATGTGGGACTCGATCCCGGGACTCCAGGGCTCAGGTCACCTAACCAACTGAGCCACCCAGGTGCCCAAAACTTATTTTTTTTATTCTAATGTAATTTTTGGAAGCCTAATCTCTATACTTATTTTTCCTTTTATATATATACAAGTGTATATATATATATACATACCTTTGAGATCACCTGGTGTCTAAATGTTCTATTGCAGGGGCGCCTGGGTGGCTCAGTCAGTTAAGTGTCTGATCTTGGTTTTGGCTCAGGTCATGATCTCAGGGTCTTAAGATCAAGCCCCGAGTTGGGCTCTGTGCTCAGCAGGGAGTCTGCCTCTCTCTCTCTCCCTCTTCCTCTGCCCCTCTCGCAGCTCATGTGCATGTGTGCACATGCTTGCTCTCTCTCAAATAAATAAATAAAATCTTTTTAAAAATAAATGTTCCATTGCAAAATATACATCCAAAGAATATATATTCATACTTTTTATGTATGTATAAGGAATAATAAAATATCTATTTATTCATTAACTGTCTTTAGAAATATAAAATGTCCACGACCTTCTGAAGCTTCTTGTGCACCCCATCTTCTATTTGTCCTCTAACTCAACCCCAGTAACTATAATTTCATGCTTTGTTAAGCATCTTCTTACCATATTATATATGTATGTTTATACATATGCTATGATTTAAGTTTTATCTGGCTTTGACTTTGTATGAATCTAAATTGAATCACTCATAAATCTTGATCTGCTTTTCATTATGGTATTTATTAATGTTGCTGAGTATAATTATAGTTCCTTAATTTTCATTACTGTATAGTATTCCAGTGTATAAGTATGCCAAAATGTACTTACCATTTTGCAGTTGATAGGCTTTTCAGTTTTTTATAGTTTTTTGCTATTATGACTAGGCTGCTATGAACAATTTTGTATGTTGTCTCCTGGTACACATGTACAAGATTTTCTTTAGGATATATGCCTTGGAGCTCAGTTGTTGGATCATAGGGTATGTGTATGTTCAGGTAATGCAAAACTGTTTTACAAAATGGCTGTATAATTTACTCTCACTGACAGCATATGAAAGTTATTATGCATTGCATTCCCCCCTTCACTTCTATGGCTGATTTTTAGGTTTTGCCAGTCTGTTAGATCTTTCATTAGAATTCACTATGCCTTTTTTTTTTTTAAGTTTTTTTTTTTAATTTATTTGACAGAGAGAGCACAAGTAGGCAGAGCAGCAGGCAGAGGCAGAGGGAGAAGCAGGCTCCCTACTGAGCAGGGAGCCTGATGCGGGGCTCGATCCCAGGACCCCGGGATCAATGACCTGAGCTGAAGGCAGCCGCTTAACCGACTGAGCCACCCAGGCACCCCAACTCACTATGCTTTTAATTTGCATTTGCCTGTTTATATTCAAGCCTTTTTGCATATGTTGGTGGACTTACATTGTGTATGTTGTTGGTGCATACCCCCCACCTACTACACCCTGAGGTTGAATACATTGTGGTTTTGTTTTTTTTTTAAGTTTTTTTTTTTTTTTTTTTGACATAGAGAGCGAGAGAGGGAACACAAGCAGGGGGAGTGGGAGAGGGAGAAGCAGGCTTCCCGCTGAGCAGGGAGACGCTTAACAACTGAGCCACCCAGGTGCCCCGAATATATTGTGTTTTCAATCATGTTTTTCTTATTCACTTTTTCATTTTACTTAAATTGAGCCCTCAAATTTGGTGTGTGTTTGTTTTTACTCAGTTTTTGTTTTACCAATGAATTATATATAATTTTTTATTATTACTGAAATTGTGGTAACCTCTTTACTGTGAAATTTTCTTTATTTGTTGTGGAACAGTATTTTGAAGGCAGTATATAATTATGGGAATTGTCTATATTTCTCCATATTTGTTTTTAGTGATTCTAAGTTCCACTCCCCCCCACCATGACCATATGGTAATTGTAAGAATTTGGTGCATATACTAGCTACTTTACTGCCCTAAAACTGTGACAAGTATTTCTATTTCTAAGTGTTTCAGTTTTATAGATAGTTGATTCTGTTATTCACAATAGTTATGTCTTATAAAGTTGCCATGAACACTGCACCTAGTGAATACTGAGCCATTGCTCCCAGGGGAAATACAGGGTTAGATTCCTCTGTGTCTTTGGTCATAACATTTTTGTCAACTGATCAGTACATAACCTTACTTTATGTGTGTTTCTGTTTATAGGCACTGTATTTGATATATATTTTGTTTATTCATTAACATTGAACTTAGAGCCATAGCACTATAACTCATGCCTGAATGAAGCTTGAAATGAGTTCAGAGAGAATGGATCACAATATGAGTGAGTCTTGCCACGGGGAACCCAGAGAGTTTTCACAGTCTTTCTCAGGATCTGCCTGATGACACGTGGCAGACTCTTGAGGAAACTAAGGTTTTGACTCAGATTTAGCCAGAGAAAAATGAACATGTTCTAAGAGACTTCCCACATATGTCTTTGTGTAGGTCCTGTGAAATGCTTCATGTAGAGGTGGCACCCCCGGACTCACGTTTCACAAGCTCTAGGTGCTCCCTTTGCTGCAGGAGTGCAGCGGCCTCTTCATTAGAACTTTTCAAGCCAGGTGGGCACTGAAGGAGGGATTGAAATTCCCCTGGGGCCCAGGGAACTTCTTTGGAATTCTTTTGTCAAGGGGGCATCACTGCCCCAGCCTGACACATATTTCCTCTGTAAGGCACATCACAGCCTTCTTGTGGTTAAAAACATTAGATATCACTTCAGCACTCTGCTTGGGGATCATTTTAGACAGCAAGATCACCAACAGAAAGCACAAAAGTATTAAAGATGTGGCACTACATAGATGGTGAAAAGGACATTTGTTTATAGTATAATAGAGTTAAACCAAGAAGGCAGAGTGTCCCTTGGTCAACTCAGATTTTTTGCCACTCTGCACATGCACATGTCTGGGAATGACTATAGAAGTGCTGCAAGTATTGATTTTGGTGCTGAAAATAAATTTTAGTGAGTAGGCGAATTCACAAATAAGGAATCCGCAAATAATGAGAAGTGACTGTATGGTAACTAATAATTCATTTATCGTGTCTTGAACAGATCTGAGAATCAGAAAAAAAAAAAGAGGATACTGAAAAACTGAAATCATTGTGATAAAATTTTAGGTCTTGGGGGGTCTTTCCTAGAATCTACTTTGGTTATAATGTTACTCTATTTGGTTATTTCCTCAGGTTTCAGCACCTGGAAGTAACTTTGTGTGTACGGATCAGAGCTATAAAAGATAGGCATATTAATGGCCATCTGACATAGGGGTCATGAAGGAAAAGATAGAAAAATCTAAGTAACAAATAGAAAAACAAAAGTGTAACATTTAGGAGGTATTTATTGGAAAAATGGATTAATACTCTATATTTAGTGTGTATATTTCAGTAGATATTGCACACCTTCCTTAATGTTACTTACTGGAAAAATAAAGTAATAATGGTTTTCATTCTTGTCCTCATTTCTCTACCCATTGAAATTTTGCCAAAAAGGACCCAATTAAACTTACCTTTTATTCTAAAATTTTGTCACTAGGCTAATCATTATGCAATTCTATTGGAGATGATTCTGATTGGAGCTTTTATTCTAATTCTGATGAAGTTGATTGTAAATCTTAAAGCCTTGTGTGGTATGTGATTTTAACATTGTCCTCATTATGATAGGTCCCTTTGTATTATTTTGCTTTTGTTGTATAACAGA